GGTGTTATCTTCTTGGGACGAGTCTAAAGGCAAACCAGAAGCCTGCTCTGGATCAGAAACCCTGGCTTGCTTTTCATAAATATTAGTGTCACAAGTAGTATCAACAGTGATCGCTGAAAGTTTTTTTGCAGAGTCTTTGCTATTGTTTTCCTCGAGGGGCGGTGTTAAGATTTCTGTCTTGGGTAGTTTCTCAGTTGAACAATGTGTTGCTTTGTTGCGATTGTCCTCCGCCAAGTCTTCCATTAATCCAGCAGGTGAAAAGAGAATTGGTACGACCGCAACCTTAGAACTTTCTAATAAGGCGGCTGTGATACATTCTTTTTTCCGTTGCCTTCTTGGTCTAGGTTTCTGGAAATCGTCATCACCTATCTCAGACAATACCTGGAAAGGATTTAGGATAGAAATGGGTTTGACCACAAGTATCTTCAAGGCACTTTCCGAAACTGTCACAACAGGATTTTCTGTCGGTCTTATGCGACGGTTTCTACGTTTTCTGCCTTGGACTTGCCATCCAGCGTCAAAGGCATCAGGTTCAGGAGTAGCAGACAAATCAACTGGAGTCTCAACTTTCTTCAAGTTTGAAACTGGAGTCTGGGCTGAGTCATTGGCAGAGTCTTGATTAGAGGCTTGGGCAGAGTCTTGAGCAATATCCAGTTTATCATTCGCAACTGTTTCCTCAATCTGGACTTTGTGAGAGCCCACTTCAAAGTCCACAGAATTGAAGGCACTGGAACGAGTGGTTTCGTCATAAAGAGGGCACTCAAGAGTACGAATGACTGGAACTGTCTCGCACTGTCTTTTCGAGTATGGCTTCTGATAGTCATCCTCACCAATATTGGCCAAGACCAGGAAAGGATTATTGGAAAGCATGGATTTGGGGGCAGAGGGTTTTGGCTTAAGAGGAAGCATCTTCTCAAAAGTAGCCATTTGACTCAGGATTCCCATATCTGTCTTTTTCCCGTTCCTTGCACGAGAGTTTCTACGCTTTCTACCTTGGACTTGCCACCCAGATTCATCTGGGTTGGCAATAGACAGCAGAGCAATGTTTACAGCTTTATCCATCAATCTTCCATTGTCATGGAGGTCGAGTCCATTTTGACAGTTTTGATCTTCAGTTTTGTTTTTTTGATCAGTCTCCACAACTTCGGATTCCTGAGAAATACCAGCAGAGGCAAGTTTGGAGTCTGAAACAAGAGAAATGGCAGAAGAAGCATCAGTGTCGCTATCGAACAAACCAGAGAAGCTATCGTCGCTAGCTGGAGAAACGGTGAATAAGCGGTTGATTTTTGTGATTGATAAGCCAGTGGTTGCTGAAACAGCAGAGGCAGAAGAAACAGCAGGAGCAGAAGAAACATAAGGAGAAGCCAGTTCAGCCGAAACGTAGCGAGAGTCCAGATTTCCTGTAGTTTTCACTGTTTCAGCTCCAGTAGTTGCAACTTCGTTGAAGCATGGGTAGAGTTGATCAACACAGAGTGTTGTTGAGTCCATGGCGATAAACTCAGGCTGAGCTGGAAGCGTCAGAAGGAACACGAAAAGAAAATGACCAATGAGGCAGAGCCCGGTGATTTCCGAAACGCAATGGATGATTTGGAAGCAAAAAATTACTTGTGCAATCATGTTGAAGCGTATGTTCGTGAAAGATGGAGAGGTATAAGAGTGTTTGGAGACAAAGAAGCGAACCCTCGTCTATATGGGAAAAATTATTTTTGCAGTCGGCGGCCTAACAAAGTATGGCTGCGAAATCAGGCTGTCGATTCGCGGATCGAAATCTATGTCTGTCGGTGTGTAGCATAACACGAAGATATAACGCTGAGACAAAATTGCTTAAGAATACAACGAGTGATTCGGATAAACAAAATAGTACTTTAAGTTGAGGTAAACTGCTTTTTCAAAGTGAGATCAAGGAGTCAAACTTTTTTAGGTTCGAGATAGCCACCAGTTCGACGATATGCAGGAAACACGGATTGTCTATTGAAACCTGAGTCCACCACATATTCGAACAAAAGACATTTTTTTTGAAGAAACATCATATTATAGGGTATCGCTGAAAAATTTAAACCCCCACCACTAGCGAAAAACTATAAACATAAACCTATAATAGATCGCAACATTGGCTCAGGTGAAAGGCGCGAGCACCAATTCACAAAATCTCCCAAAGAGGATGTAACCGCAAAAAGACTTCTGCCCATAACCAATGTCAACGACTTGAATAAAATTAACTAAATGTCATTGTCCCATAGAATATGTTCCATGAGGGTCCGTGACCATAGTTCATTTGACAAGGCGGCAGGACGCACATTTGTCTTTGCCACAAATAAACCCTGCAAACGGCTTTAACAAACCCCCAAGGTTTCTTGGATTGTCAAAGAAGGTATTTGAAGGAGCTAGCATCTCCCTTAAGTGCATTGGAGCTTGAAAGCCGATCTTTTGCCACCAAAAGTGCACAATCTTACACTCATTGCAGAAGTGGGCTAACTTCTGTTCGCTATTTAAAATGAATATTGGAAACAGATTCTCTGAAATATTGTAACTTTTAAACATTTCTATTAAAATCCAAAAATATGTAGGCTTTAATCATAGAGTCCGACAACTTTCAAAATCACGCCTTTCTTTGTTAATGAGTTGACCGGTGCTGTCACCTTCTTCTGACAAGTTGTCAGCGTCGTGAATTCAGCTATACAACAAATCATTTTTCTTTGGTACATTCATCTGATTAAAAGAGTAAGATATATAACTATAATATAAAATACCTTCAAACAGCTCCCAGCTACGTGCCAAGTGTCGAAACTCGGCCCGTCCATTTTCGTTATTCAAAGCTTTAACCATTGAGGTCAAAAAACGATTTGATGTATAAGGTGATACAATTACTCAGGTGTAATAGAGTTGGAAAAACCAAATAAGGTTACGTTTAGACGTCTTAATGTTTATACAGAATAAAATGTGGGTTGCGGCCATACCATGCAGGAAGCACTGTTTCCCGTCCGATCAACGTTAGTTAAGCTGCATAGGGCCACACTGAGTAGTGTAGTGGGAGACCATATGCGAAATTGTGGTGCTGCAATCTTTTTTGGATGTAATTACTGCGTAGTATACAAATGGCAAATTCACAAAGTAAGAACCTTTTACGGCCAGAATTTCAGATATAAGGACTATGTACAGTTGGTTCGGCTGGGGTTTTGCTGTATGTCCAACCCTCAAAAAGTGAGTTAACTTCTGATCTTCTATCAGAAAACTTCATTTGGGTAGAATATATCCAGTGAAGTGGCAATTTGAATCAGGAAATTACTAATGCAACTTTTTGGTTTGCAATGATCTTTTTTCTTTGGGAAGGTTCTGAAATCAACTATCTGAATGTGTACAGATGCAATGTATAAACGAAAGACTGTATTTGATGTACTCGCTCTCTGCACTAAATACTTGAATTTGCCGGTGCTTAGATATCTTCAATAATCTAAGAGCTGGATTCAGTACTAAGTTTTTAATGATTTGACTGTGGGACGATTGAATTTGAAACGCTCTAATGAAGCGTTGATCTTATGATAGAGTATCACGAAGATAGCGGGCATAATTCAATGTTCAAGAGTGCCAAGTGTAATGATCTTTAGTCGATAGAAAAGTAAGGTTCAATCAGAGGTGCTTCGGAATTGAGTATTATTGTATCCATTTAAAACAATTATATTGAGACAGGCCGCCAGGAGGAAATGCATTTCAGCCGAAACCTCGCGTGAAGTAAAGGTACCGAGAGCGAGAACTCTGCTACGCTTGTTATGCTCTTTCACAATATGAGAGAGTCGTTTACAAAAATCAAGAAAATATTACTTTCACTTTGGCCAAAACTTTCTCTGAATTTTTAAATGCTGTTTCCCTGATCTACGAAGTTTCACTTGAACTCAAGAGATCTGCACTTCTCAGCACTAAATCGACCTGATACTCAAATCGAAGACGGAAGCTCATACACAGAAAGACTAACAAGACAACCTGCGAGAAACACTTTCACCACGGAAATATTATGCAGAAACACTTGCAACCTTTATGAATATGAGAAGGACTCCGTATTGCTTATAATCCAGCATCAAGACTTGCTAGCTATTTTTTTTTTTTTTTGCTAGCGAAGGGTGAATTTAGAGTTATGTTTATTCCTATATATCCTTTGATGGAGAAAAAATCGAAAAGGCGAAGACCCCACCAATGTATTTTTGATTTTTTTTTTTTTTT